AACCGGACACGAAAAAAAAGAAGAAGAAGGATAAAGACGATGGTGATGATGGTGGAGGAGATGATGGGGGAGGAGACGCTGGAGATTTCGGCGACAGCGATGACAGAGGAGATGATAATGGCGGCCAAGATGACGGTGGCAATGATGGGTCGGGCGGTGGGGACTATGATGCAGGGGGAACGGGCAATGATGGTGGTGGCAATGACGGTGGTAATGATGGTGGAGGTTACGATGGTGGTGGAGGAGGCTACGATGGTGGTGGTGGAGGCTGCGATGGCGGGGGTGGAGGCTACGATGGCGGGGGTGGAGGCTACGATGGCGGGGGTGGAGGCTACGATGGCGGGGGTGGTGGCTACGATGGTGGTGGTGGTGGTTGGAGTGGAGATTAGGGCTGTTACTACAGGGATGTTGGACACCAAGTTTATGGTATTGCTGTCATGAATAGCATGAACATATGATTATATAAATGAAATAAAGTGTGCATGGCAGAGAGAAAGTGAGATAGATGGGGACCTTCAGTAGTATGTGAGTAGACTTCAGTAATATGTGAGTAGACTTCAGTAATATGTTAGTAGACTTCAGTAATATGTTAGTAGACTTCAGTAATATGTTAGTAGACTTCAGTAGACTTATAGAACGCGAAAGGGTGGGTTAATCAGTTTGTTATATTGTGTGTCTTTTTAATATTTTAGGGGAAGGGGGGTTGGTCGAGAGCAATGTTTTATAACCATTTCTTTTAACGGATTGCTATTTTTGCAAAATGTCTGCTTTTCAAATGCCTTGGTAATTTAAAACAAAACTAAAATGTACTTTTTTGAAAAATAATAATTTTTTTTTTGCTTGAAATTTACGTGTTTTTTGGTCTTTATTCGGCTTTATCTGGCAAACATTTGGTTAACACAGCGGTTCTCAGCCTGAGGGTCACGACTCCTTTGAGGTCGCGTGACCCTTTCCCAGGGGTCGCCTAAGACCATCTCAAAACACCTATCCTTACAGCTAAAAAGTGGCAACGAAAATAATTGTGTGGCTGGGGGTCGCCACGACACGAAAAACTGTATTAAAGGGTCGCGACACTAGGAAGGTTGAGAACCACTGGGTTAACAGTTGTTGAATAAAAACGTTAAAAACCAAATCTCTGTATTGAAATATTTTATAAGGGGGCGCGGGTGGGGTGGTTGCTGTAAATATTCTATAATGTCAATGGGGGGGGGGGTGGTCATGGGGGGGGGGTGGTGAATGGAAATTTTCTATAAGGTTATAAGGGGTGTGGCTGGATAAAAATATTTGCTTTTTTGTTTTGCATAACATATGATGGGTTCCTTAATTTTGAATGTTGGGCATACTTCCAAAAAGAAATGTTACGTTCTTCAAAGCTGCTGCATGTTACTTTATGCAAAGCGTGTAGCAATATAATGTTCTATAAAGTAGATTCTTTAGCCAACTACATTTTTTTATAAACAGAAATAAACTCATTTTTCAGAATATCGTATTTTNTGTCCTGTCCGTTCGTTCAACATGCAAATACGCTACAGTAAATTAAAACTATATTAAAACATTACTAGAAATTCCCCCCCCCCTGGAAAGTTAATCGATTTTTTTGCCCCCCCCCCACCCCTAGAAAGTTTTCTGCGGGCGCCCATGGCTGTAACGATGTGCTCAGTAGGCGCACACAATAAAATGTCCAGCAGTTGACACGTGATTAGGATTCTAATTGGGCGCTGCGTGAATGCATGTTTTTGTCGAGCAACTTGAGTAGAGGGGAAGTTCGCGCACTGTCGCCGCAATCGTTTATTTATAACATGCATAGTGACCGCGAAACGTTAGATGGAGTTTTGTTGAACTGTTCCAACACTGTAGGATTGCGTACACTCTAAATATTATAGGACTACCCAATGCCATTCACGGAAAGTCACCGGCAATTTAGTTGCAGATATCAAAACTTTACTACGAGGAGTGATGATACAGTGTGCATCATAGATGCAGGGCCGATAAGTGAACATAGTATAGGCCCTACGAGGTCTTGGTATCATTCAAATAACATATTAAAACGTGTTTTACGTTTTCGGGATCTGTTTTTTTTTACAAGCCTAATCCTATGAATACGTGATAAGAGCTTATATGTACTTTGAGTTTCTATAGTGTCTTTGGGGAAATTTTAGACATATGAAATAAACATACGCCTTGTAGTTGTAACCTGCATCGTTGACAATGAAATATAGTTTCTCACTTTGTTTCTACAGCAGATGAGATAGGCCTGCACGTGCTCACTTATTGATGGAGTGCAGTGACGTCGGCAGGGTTGGTGTCACACAGTGCGGTGAAAGATGCCATCTCCTGCGCTTACACACTTACCCCATTTTTTATGGAAACCCGGTCTGCTGGATACCGTCCCTGGTGGAAACTTGATTGGTGGCAACATGGTGTGCTGGATACCGTCTCTGGTGGAAACTTGATTGGTGGCAGCCTGGTCTGGTGGAGACCGTCTCTGGTGGAAACTTGATTGATGGCAGCCTGGTCTGCTGGAGACCGTCTCTGGTGGAAACTTGATTGGTGGCAGCCTGGTCTGCTGGATACCGTCTCTGGTGCAAACTTGATTGGTGGCAGCCTGGTCTGGTGGAGACCGTGTCTGGTGGAAACTTGATTGGTGGCAACATGGTGTGCTGGATACCGTCTCTGGTGGAAACTTGATTGGTGGCAGCCTGGTCTGCTGGAGACTGTCTCTGGTGGAAACTTGATTGGTGGCAGCCTGGTCTGCTGGAGACCGTCCCTGGTGGAAACTTGATTGGTGGCAGCCTGGTCTGCTGGATACCGTCTCTGGTGGAAAATTGATTGGTGGCAGCCTGGTCTGCTGGAGACCGTCTCTGGTGGAAACTTGATTGGTGGCAGCCTGGTCTGCTGGATACCGTCTCTGGTGTAAACTTGATTGGTGGCAGCCTGGTCTGCTGGATACCGTCTCTGGTGGAAACTTGATTGGTGGCAGCCTGGTCTGCTGGATACCGTCTCTGGTGGAAACTTGATTGGTGGCAATCGGATTTAGGGGCATCTCGTTAATTATTTTTATGACGTATTATGACAGTGTCTGAATGTGTCACAAATTCGTGACAGTTTATCGTTGAGGGTGTTCCAAATCGGCCAACCAAAATACCGTGGCGCCATTTATAAATGCCGCCAGGGAGTGGGGTAGGGGTACCAATGGCTTGAGGGGGGGGGGGGAAGCGGAAAAAAAATCTTGGGATAAAAAAGCACAAATAGAAAATGGAGAAAAGAGTGGGTATAATTTTTTGTTTGCCTGGAACTGAAATTCGGATCATGGTTTTAAATTTTTAAGACCTCTGATTATGCTCAAGCCTAATAAACTAAATACTAACTTGTTAGCACATTGTTAAGGGACGACATCGTGCAGTCAAACATATTTATTTACTGCACCAGTTATGCAAATAATTTTCAAGAAGTAAAAAGAGCGAGCCCCTAAACGTAACAGATTATGAAGTCTTAATTAAACTGATCATTTGGTGACTTATCAATCTTGATGGACTGAAAGCTTCTCAAATTTAGACACGTTTGTAAATTTAACACGAGACCATATTGACCTCAAAAGAAAAAGGGACACCATGTAACACAATTAGAGAAACGAAGAAACTCCAGATCGAAAACAAAAATAAACGAATTAGTTTATGAGTAGACAAAGGCCTATACATTGGGGAAATGCGAGGAAATTTGATGGCTAAACCTGGGGAATTTTTTGAAATCTAAATGGCAGTACAGAACCTTGTTCACGTCATACAAACTAATACGTGTACAACGCAACAACCGACAGTTAATCTAGATTTCAAAAGTTAAAAAAAAAACAAAAAAAAAACAAAAAAACAAAAGGGTCCTCCATTAAGTATGTCAACAAAATAAGGGGGAGGGGGTTTGAAAATGTTTGACAATTTTCGAAAAGTTGGGGGGGGGGGGGGTGAAGTAGATTAGTTGACGTCAACAATCATGTTTTCTCTATTAAAAATTTTCTCCTAAAAATTGACTGGTTATTACATTATTTTAAAACATTTATTGAGTGTAAATAATAAATATAATTGTTAGTTATATAAAATTTTAACAAGCTAAATTTGCACAAAAATGTTTCCTACAATTTTAAGTTAGATCTAGTAATAATAGAACAGCACAAAATGAAATGTATTCATATATTTGTTTATAATATAGACTAATTCATTTTTTAAAGGTGGGGGTGGGTTATAGAAATGTTGACATAATTGCTTAGGGTGGTCATTGAAAGTTTGACAGTTGTTGACAAACGGGACCGGGGGAGGGGGGGGGGTTTGCTTAAAAATTGTTGACTTAATTAATGGCCGCCCCCAAACAAAACAACATTTTTAAATTATAATATAGACTAATTCATTTTTTAAAGGTGGGGGTGGGTTATAGAAATGTTGACATAATTGCTTAGGGTGGTCATTGAAAGTTTGACAGTTGTTGACAAACGGGACCGGGGGAGGGGGGGGGGATTGCTTAAAAATTGTTGACGTAATTAATGGACGTCCCCAAACAAAACAACATTTTTAAACAAACTTTACATCACGTTCTTCAACACAATAACAAGTGAAACATACTAATTGATCGTTTACAATAGTGTGGCTATTTCACTATTGGTGCATTTTTGTGTGTGGTAGGCATGTCTATATTCTACCCATTAGGTACGTCTACTCAACTGGGTTGGGCGGTAGCCTTATTTTTAATATTTTTGGAGGGAGTAGGGAGGGTGGCGGTGCATGGATGTCTCTTGTCAACACCAGTATGGAATAAAGCTTTGAAGCCTCCATCAGTTTGAGGAAATAAATTTTGTACTTTCACATCTGATTATTCGCGCGATTTCTTAAAATAAATGAGTCAAAATAATAATCAAAGACTTCTTTGATTAAAAGTGTGTTGGGAATGGGGTCGACCTATTTCTTCTGAGGTGTTCCCCCCTTATTAGTGACGTCACTTCAAGTAAAGGACATGTAACTCTTAACTACTTCCGTATATCGTTTACCATTGTATTTTTTTTCTGAATTTTAATAAGGTTAACAAATTTTTACTTCCTAATGATGTCTTTTATGGATATCGATATGTAATGAAGGGATACACATTCCATTTCAAGCCACGTAAGACTCTTTACTTAAATTATAAATCATTAATTAGTAAAGTGGTGATGAACTGTCAAACATATATTACCTAGGCCTAGCTAACCCCGGAGTCCAGAAGAGTTATAAATATTACCAAGCGGTTAAGTTCGACACTTAAACCTAAGACTTGGTTACCTAGCCGTAGCCTGATTGAAGTCTCTCCCCTTTATTATCATTAACTTACTATTTATTTATTTGCGGGCTACTTACTTATTACTAATTAGTTTAGCCTTCTTCTAGTATATTACTAAAAACTAATGAGGGCTAAAGTTTAACTTAAACTTAAAGCCAGCACAGTGCTTCTCAGTACTATTACTACTGACAACTGAAAGTACTGATTATTATAATTGTTTGATAATATCGGTGACAGTGGGTCAGTGGGCTTAACTTTGGGTTATATTCAATATTAAATTATTATTATAGAAAGTGTCTATTGGTAGTTTACTACAATAGTAGAACTAGTGACAACACCTCAGCTCGATAATAAATCCTGAATGAATTTTAGCTTTAAATTGCTATTTACTATTTTGATAAGTGAAAGATTTGGAAAATGCCATCAAAGCTTTAGAAGAGTTTTTTTTAAAAAAAAGCAGCTATAGAATTATAATTTATCATATAGACCTCACCTAATATAGATTTAGATATATATATATGATACTGGGGGGGGGGGGGAAGGGGTTCATCTGAAAAGGTAATACCGTTTCTTTTTTTTGCCAAAGTAATATGTGCACCTAAAAAATAAAATTGAGCCGAGGCTGAGAAATACTTTTATTTTAAAAATTTTGTGTGTGCTAATTATTATGAATACAATTATTAATCAAAATATAGGCCTAAATAATAATAGTTTTACTGCATACAAAATGTGCATATTTTTAAAAATCTTATTACTTCGGTTAAATGAAATGGTATAATAATAATAATGTGATTAGGCTTAAATTTTAAAGATTACAACAGACGCTTTGACCAATCTCTGTTTATGAACATGGTCATGTCAATCCCCCAACCCCGTTATTGATATTCTGGTGGGAGATAGGAAGAAAAATATAAAATGGAAAGAATAATAAGGTACTTAATGATAAAACTATTATGTGCCATAGTTAATGTAAAGTTTTTAAATTTAAAATATTAACTGAATTAAAATTCTTTCCGCATTGCCTAATATTCATTCAGTTAATATGTATGGGTTTATTTAACAAAAGAAGATTAATATATTCATAGGTAATGTGTAAAAATGTACTCTCCCCAGTGAAAAAGTCCATGTTTCATAGTCTGATGAAGATTTCAGTGTACTTATTATGGATGTAGTAGTAGCTGTCCTCAAGCCAAAGTCAGGCCATGTATCCACAGGCTATAAGCCACAGCTCTATGAAATTCTTCTGTTGGATAGCAAAACACCACCGGGTGAAAAGGTAATTATGTTCTAAACAAACACATTTAATACATACAAATTAGGTTTCTCTATGAATAGTTGTTCAGAAATAAAAGTTTTTGAAGAGCGGTGTTAATTTTTATACTATAATGTTAAAAATATAAACATTGCAAAAAAATAATGCACATGCTAAAACGTGCATTTGTTTCTCCTTGCTATATTCATTTAGTGATTTTAAAATGACCCAAGAAATGTATATTTTTGGACAACTTTTTTAGTATTTGGTTATAAAAGTATTATACATGAATTTTAGGTAAAACAAGCAAAATATCTTCCCATGATGTCAATGAAAACTGTGGAGGAGGAGCCACGAGAACTTGTACTAACACAAGTTCATAGGTTGACTGGGATTAAAGGTAATGCAAATCATGGAATTTAAAAAAAAATATTTTTTTTTAAAATTCTGATTGGCAAGTTAAGTGTTGGTTGTTTATGGAGCTCAGACATATTTTTAAATGTTGGTTGATATAGCTTAGCCTTCTTGTTGGTTTATACAGCTTGTACATATTGTTAAGTGTTGGTTGTTCATACAGCTCAGCCATATTGTTAAGTGTTTGTTGTTTATGTAGCTCAGCCATATTGTTAGCCATATTGTTAGCCATATTGTTAAGAATTTGTTGTACAGCTCAGCCATATTGTGAAGTGTTGGTTGTTTATATAGCTAAGCCATATTGTTTGCCATATTGTTAAGTGTTAGTTGGCTATACAGCTCAGCCATATTGTTAAGTGTTTGTTGTTTATACAGCTTGGACATATTGTTAAGTGTCGATTTATACAACTCTGCCATATTGTTAAGTGTTGGTTGTTTATACAGCTCAGCCATATTGTTAAGTGTTAGTTGTTTATACAGCTCAGCCATATTGTTAAGTGGTTGTTGTACAGCTCAGCCATATTGTTGGTTGTTATAACAGCTTAGCCATATTGTTAACCATACTGTTGTTAAGTGTTAGTTGGTTATACATCTCAGCCATATTTTTAAGTGTTGGTTTATATAGCTCAGCCATCTTGTTAAGTGTTGGTTTATACAACTTGGACATATTGTTAAGTGTTGGTTGTTTACACAGCACATAAATATTGTTAAGTGTTTACAGGTTTGACTTCAAACCCAAACATTAGATGTTCCAGCTTTAAACTTTTGTTTTCTTAATGTTCAGGGGAAAGAGCTTTACTAGTACAGTGGAGCAAAGATGTGCCAGGCAATCCCAGAGAATCCCTTTCTCAGTTCTCTCTTTATTTTGTGCCTGTTGGAATCAATGGTGAGTGAACTCTGGATTTTTAAGTTAAGTAACTGGACTCACATGCGCAGTGGAGGATCCAGAAAAAAATTGCCAAAGCCCTCAGAAGTGAATTAAAGAAAGGTTTAGACTTTAGATGAACCAAGTAAATCTTTTCCATTTAATCATATGTACACCTATAAGCAGAACTGGCTGTTATACAATGGTTGAAGTGGGCACCCACCTGTAGCAACAAATTTTTGGTTAATATCTTTATTAAAAACCCCAATGATCTTGTCTTTTTTTATTATAAAAGATTTAGTGCCGGTACTATGTTTTGGAAATGAAGCCTTGGGGTTGTGAGAAATTCTTTACATCCATTTAAATGTATATCATGTTCTGTTGTATTGTGAGGAAGTAAGTCATCAAAAACTTTAGCGATATGACCTTAATTTCAAATGAACATTTTTTTCCCCCAAAAAGTAATTAAAAAGTAAATTAAAGAATATTTTGCTTTAAAAAAAAAAGTCCTCTTATAACTTTGCTTCAGACAAAGTCAGCAAAAAGTATGCAGAGCAGGCCCAAAACAGTCCAAGTTTTCATGCCCTGGAATATGTTATTGATGCACTTGACAACAACACTGTACATTTCCCATCTCCTACCAGAACATTTTTATCTCATCTAGAAAGGTTTGTTTTTAGAATATTCTTTTGATCACTGGCAGTCTTTATTGTTTGGCACCTTGTTAGGCTCCAGAGAATGAATGGCTTGTTACTGTAACTAAAAAAATTTTTATCACCAAAAAAGCAATAGGATAGTGCTAATTTATATATATATAAAAATAAATAAATAGCCTTTTTTTAAACGTATTTGTAAAAAAATATTTTTTAATAATGAATGTTGTTTTCAACCTCAAAGTATTTTTTTTATAATAATACAAGTACACTTGGACTTTTAACTTTCAATAAAGTCCCCCCAAGTCTCTTATAAAATTATTGAAAGTAAAAATTATGTGTGTTTGTAAAAATATTTTTAAAAACTTTAGACACATTTTAGCTTATTTTAGGCACATGATATGCAGTGGGTTGGTACATCAAAAGAAAGGGGGAAGAAAACAACTAAAGTTGTAATTAGTGTAAGTGTGTGTAGTGGCAGTATGGCATATGTAATTTAAAGGTAGTCATGTGTGGTCAATGCTTTAAAAGTTCATACTGTCTCAAGCACTGCTGTCTAAATTATGGTTTATGTTTTCAAACATAAAATCCTTTGAATTTAAGGGAAGAATTCGTGAAGGCTTATCAATAAAATCTGGTTATGTTTTACGCATTGAATTTTAAATTATTACCTTTTAGTTTGGACCACAGATATTGTATAAAAAAGTTAGTCTACAATCTATGTCATCTTGCATGTGATATTTGAACTTTTCTCATTTAATGTGCACTTCTTCAGTTGGTTGAAAGAAAAGCACCAAAGACCCAAAGCCATTGAATGCTTGTTCCAGCTGAGAGCAGAATTCCGAATCCTCTTTACAGTCCACAATCCTGTGTTCATTCCAAGTCGCATAACTCCTGAAATTGAAGGCAGTGGTAGTGGTAAAACAGCCCATGTCCCGCAGGAAATTGTGAAAACTGCCAACGAGGCCTTAGCCAAAATGTTGTCCATTGAGAAATGTGATACTGTTGTTATGAATCCCCTTTTTGGATCTTACCTGCCTTATAAAACAAGGGTGAGCTGCTCTTGCTAGCTGGTTGTATGTGTATGTAGAAAGGTTGGGGGGGGGGGATAGCAATTTATACAATTTTTAAAAATTGTGGATTCATATCAAATATTCCAAAGTGTTTTTAACACTGTGATGATAATTTCAATAAATTTTAAACAACACAAAATTGGACACCAAAAGGACTATGTTTAACTTGTGAGTGGGGAGTCATTATCACTTAAACTTATTGATCATAATCTCCATATAGTTGTAGCCTGGCACACAACAGGAATGAAGAGAACTCCTTCGATGTAGATGTAAGCTTAGCCAAAGTTGTCTGTCCTAATTTTATGATCATTTTAAAGGGTTTGTCAAACAATCTCTCTGATATTGATAATTATTCAGTATACATCTTATCTTAACACTCCAGATAACTCTCTATTCATGACCAAGAGATTTTAGTTCATATTTAAAGATGTATTTTTGTATCTATTTCATGTGTCTGTAGCCTAACACCTATGTGATCAACCCCCACTGGCCAAATATTCCCAATATTCCACAACCCAGAGGAACAGGGTATGTTTGCCATTGTATCTGTTCTGTATGACTTATTTATGCTTCTGTATCTGTTCTGTATGGCTTATTTATGCTGCTTTATCTGTTCTGTATGGCTTATGTATGCTGTTGTATCTGTTCTGTATGGCTTATGTATGTTGTTGTAATTTATGACTTATGTAAGCTCTTGTATCTGTTCTGTATGACTTATGTATGCTGTTGTATCTACTATATATGACTTATGTTTGCTGTTGTATCAGACATATGTTTGCTCATATTGTTGAACTGAATATCTTAAAAAGTGATTTGATATCATTATCTGTTTACTTGTCTGGCTAATTCACTTCATATGATAAGTTGGGCCAGTTTACATTTTGTGCCTGTTTCCATGTTCAGTTACAGTGGCAACAGATGGCAGAACATGTACCCACTACATCATTATGCTGCACAAGGGGAGAAAACTGAAGTAGATATCCTGCTAAAGCAAGGCTACAACCATTCTCTGCTAGACAATGTTGGGTATGCTCCCATACACTATGCTGCCAGGTCAGTTTCACACCAATATCAGTAGGTCCTTTGCAGTGGCGTAGCTAGTGGGGTGTGAGATTCATAAAAGGAAAACCGATCACACATACTTTTTTTTCACAAATGTAACCAAACCAAATGCGTGCTTTATTAAAAAAAAAAATCAAGATTGATACATCAGAAATTAGTTGACCCTATGATTTAGGTCAGAAAAACAGTCATTATTCTACGCCGATGGAAGTGTTCGGTATCTATAGTAAGTGACAGAAAGCTATATTTATTTTAATTCTGAGAAATATGGCTTTCCATTGATACCAAATACGATGTGGGCGGGCGATTCAAAGTACAAGAATCGAATCGGTAAAATTTATATTATAATAAATTTTTACCCATTTATGGAGTTTAAAAATATATTATTTTACATACTTTTGAATCTCTTAATTATTAATTTTTAATTATTTAATTTTTTTTTAAAGTTTAAAGACTTTTATAACATTATTCATCAAAACCCAAAAATACTGAAAAAATTAATATTTTCCCGGATTCGTCACTAGTACAAAACTTAACATTTGAGTACGATTGTCATATTTTGACTGCTGGGTTTTACCTGTCACCTTTCTGTGTTGTATTTTGCATAGTGCTCTGACTGTTGTTTTTGACCTGTAGTAAGTAATTATTTTGTTTGTTGTCTTGAAAATGACAAAATTAATGAAATTTTATTGTTCAAGATTATTAAATCATGCCATACGGTGTGCCCACATCTAAATGGCCAAGTGGCTGCTAGGAGCAAAAAGCAAAAAAGAAAATTTGTGACTCACTAAAATCACTACCAGGATCCAGGCTTCGATATGTCAAGAAACCAAATGATGACCAGGGTCAGGGTTCATAAAAAAAGATTTTCCTCGGTGTACCATTGATACTGATTCCCTCGATACCAGCAGCATGCATTCTATACAGCAAATAGTGGAGAAAATGGAAAAGATTGACGTGAACATGCATGTAAAAGACTTGGATAGTTTGGAAACAGAAATACCTGTTGATAATTTTGATTCAAACTAAGATACTGTAAATGTAATTTTTAATGGAAAACCTGGCACATTTTATCAGATGCTCCTCTCTGAAATGTACCAGTTCCAGATCATTTTCGGTCTGAAATTATTAAAATAGTGAGTACCTCGTTTCAGAGCAAGGACGGACCGTTCAGCGTAGTGACAAGGCAAGATGCGAAATCTAAAGAAGGTGTGCGCCAACTAACAAAATAATGATTCTACAGGATGAAGCCAAATGGCGATAAAATACTGCGGTTGTGGATGGTTTGTTCACTCATCTGTCAGACATTGTACTGTTTTTGCTGCAGATTATTTGCTATTAATGTTACAGAAACAACATCCAAATTTGTTTCTGGCTTTGATAAGGGGTGGAAACTGAGCTCAAAATGACAAAATCATGAAGCATCAGAAGAACACCTATGTTGCCATGAAAAGTGGAAGGCATTGGCAGCTGGACTTAAGATACACAAAATAAATGATGCAGAAAGTATTGCTGTGATGGAAAGGGAGAAGAAAAAGTGGAGGAATATCCTGCATAGGTTGCTGGATATCACATTGTATCTTGCAAAGCAAAATTTTGTATTTCGTGGCTACAACGAAGATGAATCTTCACTTAAAAAGTAAACTTTCTTGAAATGGTTGAGATGCTATCTAAATACGGCCCAGTACTAAAAGATCACTTAAAGGAGTACATATACAGTAAAAGCATCCGCATATTACCTTTCACCAGAAACCCAAAATGAATTTATAAATGTCCTTGCAAATCATGTGAAGGAGATTCTTATCATGAATAATAAAGGCTGCTAGGTATTTTGGAATTATGTTCGACAGCACACCTGATATATCACAAAGTGACCAGATGTCTCAAGTGATCAGATATGTGAAAATTCACAATGGGAAAATTGAAGTGAGAGAATTGTTTCTTGGATTTTTCCCGTTAAAAGACAAAAAATCTGATGACCTCAGTTCTGACATTCTTACAAATCTAAGACGTGATGTTTTAGACATAATGATGTGCAGAGCTCAAGGCTATGATAATACTGCCACAATGTCTAGAATCCATGGAGATATTCTGGCTATTCGGAAGAGAAATAATAAAAAAGCGATTTTTAATGGATGCGTGTTCCATTCGCTTAACTTGTGGTCAACATTCTTTTGCCCAAAAATTCTCCGTGTATTACATTTTTCGTTACTCTTAAAAGAATATTTTACTTCTTTGCTGCATCTACTTATCAATGGAATGTTTTAATTGAACACATTGGAAAGTTGGTTGGAGTACTCATCATGCTGCTGTTAAAACAGTGAAAGATGAGTTTGATGAATGTGTTGCGGCGATTGAAGCTCTATGTGATTCTCTTGAAAATTTGGATACAAGAGGTACAGCACAAGCATGCTGTTTTACATGCTGTCTGTGATTTCACGTTTATCTGCTACCTTTACCTTTGGGCTGATTTACTTGAGGAAGTTAATCTTACACAGCAGTATCTGCAGACTAAAGGCTTTACTCTTGATTAAGTGGTGACCCATTTAGAGGTCTTAAGATTGTTTCTGCACGAAAAGTGCTGTGATTTGGTAGAACCTGCTAATGAAAAAAGCTCTTTAAAATTCAGACCAATTTGGAATTTGGGTAGAGAGAAGATTAAGGTTCAAGAGTAGCAGGAGAACAATTAATAGATGCTGGACCCTCTCAGTGAGAAGAAAACAGTAGATGCTGGACCCTCTCAGTGAGAAGAAAACAGTAGATGCTGGACCCTCTCAGTGAGAAGAAAACAGTAGATGCTGGACCCTCTCAGTGAGAAGAAAACAGTAGATGCTGGACCCTCTCAGTGAGAAGAAAACAGTAGATGCTGGACCCTCTCAGTGAGAAGAAAACAGTAGATGCTGGACCCTCTCAGTGAGAAGAAAACAGTAGATGCTGGACCCTCTCAGTGAGAAGAAAACAGTAGATGCTGGACCCTCTCAGTGAGAAGAAAACAGTAGATGCTGGACCCTCTCAGTGAGAAGAAAACAGTAGATGCTGGACCCTCTCAGTGAGAAGAAAACAGTAGATGCTGGAGTGTATTGATCGCTTTCATTATGAATACCAGATCAGATACTCAGCAATCAAGGAAGTTGCAGATATGTTTGGGGCTGTTCAGTCCAAGAGTCTGCTATCAGCAAGTGAAGGAGAGTTATTGGTTTCTGCTCCAAAATTAACCTCTTTCTGGGATGAAGTTTTTAAAGAAATATCAAGGCTTAGAAGACACCTAATGGCAGCTGATAATGCATTCCAGGAAAGAAACATTTTAAAGTACATTTATGTAAAAATAACCATAACTTAACTTTGTTACAGTTCTTAAATACATTAATTTACCTTTAATTAAATTGTTTTTGTTCTTGTCATTGTTATACTGTGGACTTATTTTAACAAGAAGAAATCTATCAAGGAAGTCGGGGTTTGGGGGTGACACCATGAGTTTACCCCACCGGGTGACACCAACTCTAGCTACGCCACTGGTCCTTTGGCTCACTTATATATACATATATATAATTACATATGTGTGTGAAGGGCTTCGAGCTTTTGGGGATGAAGTTTGTTTTTCAATAAACTTTATTATTATTTATTATTAGAGCAGGATATAAGCTTGAACACCAATATTTTGGACATCAATGTTTTGGACACTAATATTACAATAGTTCATCTACTCCTATGGTTGGAAAATTGCGGGTCACGAGAGGCACACGGTTCTTTAGCGATCTGAGTAACTCTGGCAGTTGGTCTCAAATTGGTTTTGACTCAGAAAAACATGGTTATTGACGCGTTCTTGAAAAGAAATTTGGCTCTCAAACAATTTTTAATTGTCCTGCTGCTGATTTTGGCTCTATTGACTTGTGAGTTTGCCGACCACTGGTCTACTCCTGCAATACAGTCCTCCTCTTTGAGAAATAACCTGGGAGTGGCATGGGTGTTCAGTGAAGTGAAGTATCCCATAAAATAGTTCTTGTTCCCAAATTCCAAAGAAACATTTGTAAAATTGGGTTCCTTTTTCTACTGTTAACAATGTGCAGAGATCTCAATATTTCATGATGCTTTTCACCTCAATATTTCATGATGATTTTCACCTCAATATTTCATGATGATTTTCACCTCAATATTTCATGATGATTTTTATCTGAGGTTTTGATTAACTTTCCGATAAGCTGCTGCCAATTAAATATTTATTGCTTGCTGAAATTTCTTCTACTAAATTTGGTACTGACCACTGTTGAGTACTTTCTGCTCAGAATGGCAAACAGTTTATTTATTCCTTTGCTAGACATTATTATAATTACAGTGGTACTCCAGCCTAGGGCTGGGCTGGGCTCACCGTGCTGCACATAAAAATATTGGCAATAATAAACATGACATTAAAACTGCTACATACATTTATTTTATTTAAATAATAGCTTTATTCTTATGTCTCTTTGAAATTCTAAGCCACTGATTTTGAATGAAAGATGGGGGATTATTTTGAAATAAGTTCTAACATGCCTTAAAAAAATTTTGGAAAAACTCTCAAAGGAATTGTATATCCTGACAGATTTGGCTACATCAGTGTTGTGGAGGCTCTCCTCATTGCTGGCTGCTCACCCAACTTGGCTGATGAAATGAAGAACACGCCACTCCACATGGCTGCCAGGAAGGGTAATGTCCAGCTGGCCAAGTGCCTGCTGCAGTGCCCAGATTTAGACTTGGTAGGCATTATACTTGATTTGGAATGAAGACGATTCAGTAAACTAAATAAGAATGGAGTCCACTCAATGCATATAAATGTAATTATATCAACCTTTAACAGAAGGCAAAACTTCAAGCCTTTACAGTAAAGCAAAAAGTTGTAAATAGTTCCACTTATTTATATGCTTAACATAAATTTAAAAAATAGCTTAAAACAGATTACTAATTTTACTGTAAGTTAACATTTTGTTATAGTTTATTTTATTTAAAGGAATTTCATACTCAGCAGCTTTAGATTTTTGGATGACTTATAGAATCTTTATGACTCTGACAAAGTTGAATACCTCAATGGATAAGCAATGTAAATGATAATGTTGAAGATCTCAAGAAATAAAAAAAAAAGCTAAAGATATTTATACAGATTTGTGTCTAACAATGCTATGATTCCAGAACATCCGTGATAAAGATGGCAAGAGGGCCGTAGATATTTGCTCATTGGTACAAGATAAAACAGCCAAACATGAACAAGTGGAGATGCTCATTAAGGAGGCCTCAAAGAGACCGGTAAGTTGGTATTATGGCCACAATTTAATGCATTAAATATCTGGCTCTCACCAGAGCTGACCATCTCCAAGTCATTAAATATCTGGCTCTCACCGGAGCTGACCATCTCCAAGTCATTAAATATCTGGCACTCACCAGAGTCCACCCTCCCCAAGACATGAAATATCTGGCTCTCACCAGAGTTGACCATCTCCAAGTCATTAAATACCTTGCTCTCACCAGAGTTGACTATCTCCAAGTCATTAAATATCTGGCTCTCACCAGAGTCGACCATCCTCAAGTCATTAAATATCTGGCTCTCACCAGAGTTGACCATCTCCAAGTCATTAAATACCTGGCTCTCACCAGAGTTGACTATCTCCAAGTCATTAAATATCTGGCTCTCACCAGAGTCGACCATCCCCAAGTCATTAAATATCTGGCTCTCACCAGAGTTGACCATCCCCAAGACATGAAATATCTGGCTCTCACCAGAGTCGACCATCTCCAAGACTTTTTGTGTGTGCAACATTCAAAAAAGTTTTATGTTGTAATCACTTAAATCTGTAATTTAACATCATCACCACTACCATCCTCCCTCCTTTGTGTGTTTGACTTGAATTAAATTGACGTTTTCTTTCTTCATATGTTCGATTGTATTCAAAAATTAAAATATCTAGACCTTTTCATCCCCTTATACATATTCATCTACAGCTATGCAAACATTCTAACTCGTTTTAATTGTGTTTCATTTATGTACTTAAAAATCTTATTGGAATCCAACCCTCTTATAATTAGTTAATTGTTTATACTAGAGAATAGAGGACTTATTTTAATTCAGTATGTTAAGATAATAAGTTCACTTAAAAAGAAAGAAAAAAATGTGGATATTTTTCTTATTTTAACAAATTAAGGCTCAATTGTTGAATTTAATAGTGTTATTTTACAAATTAAGCTAATGATTTGAATTTGATTGTTCTTCAATGACAGAGCTACACAGTGGAAGTGTTCCTCATGGACAAAAGCAGTAAAAATCTCAAACTGATTTCTGGCTTCAAGACAACAGTCCAGCAACTGAATGAACAGCTCATGAAGGTTGGCAATCATGACACGTTCCTGTCAGCTCTTTGCCATTCTACTTTGGTTTTTAAAAAATGCAAATAACAACTGAATTATTATATTAGTTTTTTAGCACTATTTTAAAATCATTAGACCAACACTGCCATAAATTATCATCCAGTAACATGACTAAGCAAAAAATAATAGTTATGAGAACATAATGATTCATAAAGATATACACATTTTTTTTTTTTTTTTTTTGGTAATTTTTTTTTTAGGAATTCAACTTTCCAAAAAATTACTGGGACATTTTCACTTTGTGGATAGGCTCCAAGAGTCTTGGTAAGTAGATTAATTTTAAAAACTGAGGATGGAGAAGATTTTTTTTTTTTTTTTTTCTGGTAATTTATTTTGTAGGAATTCAACTTGCCACAAAATTACTGGGACATTTTCACTTTGTGGATAGGCTCCAAGAGTCTTGGTAAGTAGATTAATTTTAAAAACTGAGGCTGGAGAAGTAAATAGTGGAGTTTTCCCTACAATATGAGAACCACTCCATTTCTTTTTGTAGGCAAGAAAGTTGACAATGAGTTTATCTCCAGTTTGTTCATTGAGATAGAAAAAGTTATAAATACTATGTTTTGAAACCAGTGTCACTCTAGGATTTACACACCCTAATACACGCTAGTTAGCCCTGTTCAATTTTTTTAGGAAATGAGTGAAACAAAGTATGGGGAAACCTGAAAAAAGGAGGCCACAAAAAACAAACATGTCAGCAAGAAGCCTTCTTCAGCGAACAAACAGCAGTAAAAACAGAATTAAATAAAATAAACACTTTCATTATTTTGTGATGTCCTTTGTCAGGTTTTCCCATACTTTATTTTGCTCATTTCCTTCTACCTAACCTAATTGCAATCTCTCCCCACTTATTATCATGTTTTTAGAAAGTAAGCGAATTAGTATCAATTTCTAATAGATTTTTTCCATGCTTTTATTGTTACTACTTTAAAAAGAAAATAATATACTGTATGGGGTTTTGAGAGTGTTTGATGCAATGGGACACAGACACATAGACACATGCGCACACACATACAATTTTGATGGAAGAAGTCAGACAAAAAGTTTTTCCCTGTACTTTAAGCCTTATCCACTATCCCCAATTTTACCAACTGAATACCATATTTCATATTGAAAACCAGAATGAACATGACAAATTGAGAATGGTGCACTAATTAACAGTACATTTTTTACAGTAAATTTTGAAGTAAATTTTTATCCAATGTCAAGGTTAAGTTTTATTTTCCGGTTTTATTAACTTGCTTGAACAGGGTTTAGATCCCATCCCCACACCCCATGCTATGACTCCCGTGGCTAACCTTTTGGTTTAAAGGATGCAGGATGTTTTTTTGGGGATATTTTATCGGTAAAATAACGTGTATTTTAAGGCGCAAGATATGTTGTGTCCCAGCAGGTATTTGTGGATAATAGAAAAGTTATGTCTCTGATGACATTACATTGTTCATATATGTTGTTGACAGAGCTGCAGCTCAAGTTGGAACATGAGGTCGTCAAGGAGTTGCAGCAGTGGTACACACGGTGTGTCAACATGTTGACAGACAGGAGGAACCCTTCAGAGGAGGAACCCATTTTAACATGGAGGAGGAATGTCAAAGTCAGCGTGGAAAAGGAAAAACAGGTGCAGCCATTAATTAACTTAGTGAATTATTTATTGAAAGGAAAAAAAAACGTCTTCATTTAATTTATGAATTGTAAGCTGAAATAAAAAATGGGCATTCATTTGGTTTATGAATTATTTATTGAAAGGAAAGGCAGGTGCAGTTAACTAAGAAAATTGTTAATTTTCACTTACTTTACGGGATAATAATTGGGAAGTTGTTAATTGTGAAGAGATTCTTTAATTTCTCTTTTGTAGACATAATTCTTTTCATTAGTTTTTTTTTTTTTTTTTTCAATATAAAATTTTATCAGTAGTTATATTTTTTAAATTCACTGATACCACACAGGAAATGTTTTTTGAAAAATTAGAGTATGTTCTAGTATTTCAATTAATAGGTGACACCCTCCATAAACAAATTCATGAGAGGGGGAGCAGGTTCATCATTTGTTGACAGTGTGTGATTAAATTGTCCATTCTGTGCTCAAAATGCGTGATGATTTATGTTTTTTGTGGGGTGGGGGAATAGTTTAAATTTCTTTATGGGTGGCTCGATCTATTGCTATATATAATTATGTCTCTGTAAAAAAATTGTTAAATAGACTAAAGTAATATAAGCATCTGTTCCAGCTCCAACATCCAAAGGCCCTTGACCTGCTTTTCTACGAGGCCTGTCACAATTACCTGAGTGGACTTTACCCATGCAAGGACAAGGACACGATCAACTTTGCTGCCATCATATTCGCTCTTCAGCATCACGGAGCCACGAACATCAAGTCTATTTTATCAAAGTAAGCAACAGTTAACTTAAAATGGGAAAAGTTATATAAGAATAGAGAAGCCATTGAAAGTTGTGATGTAAGAACAGAGAAGCAAGTCATTGAAAGTTGTGATACGTTGTGATATAAATTTTTATACATTCTTTTTTATTTCTTCACTTCATGTAATAAGTAACAAAATGCATGCTATTTATAGCTAGTTTAAAAAAAAAATTTAAAACATTTTCAGTAATCAAGCAACACCTTTCTCTTTAACCCTATAACTGTCAAGAGCAAATTTCTATAGCGTCAAGCAATTTTTGGAAATTTCATATGCTTGTCAAAAATGACAAAAATCCTAGACTAAATGAATTCAGAGACCCTTACAAGTATACATTTTCTGAAAGTACATTGGACAGCGTATTTTATGGTATGAAAATAATTTTTTTTATATTATGTATGTTGATATTTACCTGGACCTTTACAGAGTGAGTAAAATTTTACTACTCAACTTCTGAATTAACCCACCCTAAATACTCCATAAATTGTTCAAACTGTCATAAAATCAAGTTTTTGATGTACCAGAAGCAATATTCTTTCAGAAAATGACAAGTTATTGTTACTTATATGGAAAATTGTGATATTGGTGAATTTTTTTCATTCACTATCTTCAAATTTCTGTCATACAAAATATAAAGGGAAAGGCACAACATGAGCTCAAAAATTCCTTTTCATTTGAAATTATTCAATCCATTTTTTACTAATTAATACTCCAGAACATATACAAACACAAATATCTTAGGGGTAGATCTCTGGGATCAAATTTGTGTCTTTATCTGTTCGATTTCCGACCTTTCCCAAACGAATTAGTCTTTAGCAATACGACTAAGCTTAGTGAAAAAAATGTCAATATCTGACCCTTATCTCAACATCAGCGCTAGAGCTGTGCTGTCATTAATAGGACACATAATATCTCTGATATCTTTGCTTTCATTATAATCTATTTTAAATAATTCCAATAATGAAATTCTGTGTTAATTTTGAAATCCCAAAGGGGATCAGAAAATATGGCGGTGAAAAAATGTGAGAAATATCACACCCGATTAATCACAAAAACGACCATGACAAAAGCTTGTAAAAAACACACTGATAGTAAAGGAAATAGGAAGGAAACTCATTTATATAGAGTGGTGTTCCCTTAAACAATATACATTAAATCAATTTGCACTTTTGAAGATTTCTTTAATGGACAATTGTATTGGCCGTGACACCACAGAAAGGGGTATAATGGCCGACAGTTATAGGGTTAAAGAAAGCAAATCAATACAGAGGTTTAACCCAAAAAAAGTAAATAATTTTTACTTGGTGCTCGTTTGACACTTCTTCATCAGATTGTAGGTTTTTTTAAAATATACATGGAGATATGTTGTTTGCTGCTCAATACTATTTTGTTACACTACATCATGCATCATTCAATCTGATCTTTCTTTTTGGATGTGTACAGCTCAACAGTATAAATTAAAGGACCCTTTGCCGCCATCATATTCGCCCTTCAGCATCACGAATCAGCACTTCCAAAATCGGCCTCTGCCTTACACATTTTCAATAGTGACCTTGGCAAACCTTCTTTCTATTTGCTGCCTAAGATTCACAAAGTGAGCAAGCCGGGACGACCCATTGTCTCGGCCTGCGCCTGCCCTCTGAACACATTTCAGAATTTCTAGATGAAGTCTTTCAACCCTATGTTACCTCATTACCCTCCTACATTAAAGATACCAACCACGCTTTATTGACATTTAATTCTCTAAACATCAACCCTGACACAAAACCCTCACTATTTTTACTTGATGTCTGCTCATTGTACACATCAATCCCACATGCTGACGGCCTTAGGGCCTTGAAATTTTTCCTAGGAAAAAAAAACGCACTCCTCTATCCCTACTGACACTATTATCAGATCGGCCAAACTGGTACTTAACCTAAACTCCTTTGAATTGAATGGCCATTTCTTTGACCAAATCAGTGGTGTAGCCATGGGCACCAAAATGGGCCCTAGCTATGCTTGCCTATTCATGGGTCATTTTGAATATATGATAGAGAGGGCATATACTGGCGGTATTCCTGAATTTTATAGGAGATACACAGATGACGGCATAGGTATCACCAGCATGGAAATTAATGATCTCCAGAAATGTATAGATTTTTTAAACTCATTTCACCCATCCATAAAATTTACTTCTCAAATCTCTGGACATTCTGTCAACTTCCTTGATATCACCATAACATTGAAAGAAAACGAATTGATCACATCTGCCTACTACAAACCAACTGACAGCCACAGTTACCTATTGTACTCATCCTCCCACCCCAAATCATGCAAAGACTCACCTTTCTCACAACATCTTAGATTACGGCGTCTATGCCAAATTGATGAGGAATTTTTTAGAAAGAGCTGATGAAATGATGGATTTCTTCCGCTCCAGATCCTATCCTTGTCTCAGCACTAGGTCGCATCAGCACTATCACACGAAAAGAGGGTTTCAAAACTCGTCAAAACAACAAAGAAGGTCGTACCAAACTTATACTAACCTACCACCCTCACAATTTAACTGCCAAAAAAATATTCCTAAAAAATCGTAGCATACTTCTTGCTGACCAACAGGGTTTTCTCATCCCCTCCACTGACTGTCTTTAGACAGGACAGAAATCTAGTTGATCTTCTGGTTCATAGTCTTCGATCTGAACCGTCTAACGTTGGTACTAAACCATGCTTAAGAAGCTGCTGCAGGAATTGTCCCTTTACATTCCAAACTGAAAGCATTAGCCTCCCTAAAGGTACCTTTACCATTAAAGAGGGTTTCACCTGTGTCAGCCGTAATGTAATATATGCCATTGTGTGCCGTAGATGCCAATCTAGTTACATAGGTGAAACTGGGAGAAGATTGGCTGATAGGTTTACTGAACATCTCCAGGATAATGAGCAATGTAAACGTTCCCCAGTCTCTTTTCATTTCAACAGAAAAGAACATAAAGGTGCATTGGATGTAACCATTACGGCACTGATTTCATTTAAAACACACCAGAGAGGGTTAAAATGGAAAATAAATTTATTCAGCTGTTTGGCAACATATCTCCATATGGTATTAATCAAATAATATCGTACTGATGTTTCTCTGTTTCCCTATATTTCATCTATTTTATTATGGCTGTGTGCTTATGTATCCTTGGATAATCTTGTCCATTATTATTGTGGACTTCATTTTTCACAGTGTCAATAAATTATTCTCTCGCTTCCTGTGTTCCCACTTACGGCGACAATAATGGATATATCTTGATTTGTTTACTGTGCTCTGTTCTTTGTGATATTTTCATTTCTACTGTTAGCTGAAGAAGGCTTTATGCTGAAATGTCCTTATCTTTTTGTCCTGTTCTCTAATTCAAGCTTCCACATACCTCATTTTGCTATTTCATTCATTTACAGCTTAACAGTTTGATTCAGTTTTGTTTCTTCCCATCTGTTGTCTTCTCTAGTCTAAACCAATCACAGCTGAAGGAGCTGATTCCAGCCGCAGTCCTGAGAAACAAGGACACAAGTTCCTGGGTCAACAAGATCTCCAAGGAATACGCCACAATCAAGGACATTCCACAGCCGGTACTAACATCTGATGCTACTTATGGCTCACTTTAATATAATTTTTTTTTTTGGACTGTTTTGAGAACAGAGTTTAGACATTTGTGTGTCAAGTAGAAATATCTGCTATTTGTATTTATGATTTAAATCTATTTTATTTTCATCAATGGTTATTTACAGGAATGATACTGGTGAAGTAACCAAAAAATGTTGCTGGTCTTAAGTCATTTTTTAAATAAAATGTATATAATTACTTTCTCAATTAGGCCCTTCATTTAAAACTATTACTGAAAAGTTGTGGTCAGTCATAAAGTAACAAAATATTTTAAAATCCTCTTTAGGTGCTAAAAAATATCAGAAAAATTTACAATAACTTTGCAAGATTGTCAACAGAGAAATTATAACAGTAAATTTCTTTTTGCTTCAGCAACTGAAATCACAGTTTCTGACAGCTTGCCAGAGGCTGACAGTGTATGGCTCAGCTTTCTTCACAGGGACAATCCTGCCACCAAACCGGAGGGTAAGAGAGAGGGACTAGATTATGAATTCATTAAAAAATTTACCTCCTTACCAATACTCCCTCTGACTTTTCTGTGCTAGAAAAAGTCTGTGCGCAATATTTTAATAATTGCAATCAAATAGAGCAAAATCTATGGACTGTTTTAGCATCCAAAGTAAAAAGGTCTCAGATTTAAAGAAATAATTACTATGTACATTACCAATTAATTTTTAAAATAAATATGCGCGTTAAAAGTGTGCACAGCCCCAAGGGGTCATCTGCACATAATGCTGACACCTTAGACGGAGCACAATGATTAAATGATTTAAAAACCCCATTATTTTTTCTTTGCCGCTATCACGTTCTCTTTCAGTGATCAAATATTCCCCTGTAAATGTTATATAAAAGTCTTAGCACACAAACCCAGTGACCAGAATGTCACAGAAACAAACAAGGTGTCAATATTTATTTTTTGTTGCTTATTTCCCCATGTTTTTTTTCCCACTGACCCAGTCTTCCAGCGCCAACACTCCATGTTATGTTGGTGTCAATGACATTGGCCTTCACATCATCAGCATTCAAACAAAGGTGGGTGACTCTCTGCCAATCATGGTTTAACTCCAGTAAAAACTAACAAGTGGTATCCTTAATGGTAATTATACAACCACGGCATAACAAATAATTTATGGGAGACAGCGTGGCCCATACTTGTTTCAAATGAATCTGAATCATTAAGTCCGTCAGAACAGCCGCAACAGTCTAAGAATAGGAACCAGGAACTGTAAAAAAAGGAATTTTTGGGTTATCAACGTCTTACACAAACATCTGATGTGTTTTTGAGGGGGCATGTGGCCATCAAAGTCCATCACATTTCATTAGCTCTGATTTCATTAACTATAATACCAGCAATGGATATCATCTGGGGCCCTATACACTTTGTCCATCACAATAAACAGAGTACCGAACAATTTCAACGACCAAAAATAATCATAATCTTTTTATTATCATGCTTTATTACAATTGTTTATGACAATTATTTGATCTTTAAACTGTAGAGTATTTACAACTCCTACTTCAACTCAAGCTTCTAATTTATAAAGGTTTTATACATTGAAAAGTCAAAGATTTAATTGAATGATGACAAAGTCAAATGGATTTAATGGAAAATAAGGCAATGTTGGGAGTGTTTTATCTTTAATTATGGCCCCACAAAATTATCAGTTGAGCAGAAACAAACCAACACGCGTCTTTGGGTCCTAAAATTGTAATTCCCCTTTATTAATTTATTGTCATTCCTTCAATTTGTGTAACTTTTGTCACCAGCAAATGGTCCAGTCCCTTGAGTACAGAGAGATTTCCTGGAGACACATACAGGAGAATACCATGTTAGAGGTAAGAGGAATAGTGAACATTGCCTTCTTTTTTTTTTTTTTTTTTTTAAAAATAAATTAAAAAATGGTCCAGTCCCTTGAGTACAGAGAGATTTCCTGGAGACACATACAGGAGAATACCATGTTAGAGGTAAGAGGAATAGTGAACATTGCCTTCTTTTTTTTTTTTTTTTATTTACAAATAAACTAAAAGAGGGTACAAATTGTGTTTAAAATGTGGCGCCACTGAATCAAATAATGTTGACCTAAGAAACAATCAACTTTAGGAACTGTTTTTCTCATTATTAATTTTTTTATCCCCATTTACACACACACACAGTGTGACCATTGTCACAAAATCTGTGAGCACAAATTTTAACAAGTTTTACTTATTTTATGGATCTACAAATTTGGACAACAAGTTCTTTCTCTTTTCATCTTTTAAGGTTTGGGGTGTCCTCAATGACCCTATTTCCCCATTTCAATACATATATATATACTTTAAATTCAAAATACTAATAAATATGTCCTCTAGCAAAGTTAATATTAGAGATCCATTACAAGGGCGATAGCTTCAAATAAATGTATCTAAATTTCATCATTGTCATCCAGTGGGGCATGTTCCCTTCATATGGTGAAGAATCTACACACTCTCCGCAGCCTATAAAAATGGAACAAGCACATGTAATGGCTGGTTATAATAATAGCTATTATAATGAAAAGAATACTAATATAATAGCTGGTAAAATAATATTGAAAATAATACCAATATAATGGCTGGTTATAATAATAGTGATGTAATAATGCCAATGTCATGGCTGGTTAGCCACTTAAGTGCACAGTGATTATGATGCCAATGTAATGGCTGGTTAGCCACTTAAGTGCACAGTGATTATGATGCCAATGTAATGGCTGGTTAGCCACTTAAGTGCACAGTGATTATGATGCCAATGTCATGGCTGGTTAGCCACTTAAGTGCACAGTGATTATGATGCCAATGTAATGGCTGGTTAGCAAGTGCACAGTGATTATGATGCCAATGTAATGGCTGGTTAGCAAGTGCACAGTGATTATGATGCCAATGTAATGGCTGGTTAGCCACTTAAGTGCACAGTGATTATGATGCCAATGTCATGGATTTAAACATCTGTTTTGTCATATTTCCTTACATTCATTGGTTTCTCAGTGTTACGGATTCGTGTTTATGTTTTTTTTACAAACAAAGGTCCCTTCTTTTACTGTAGATAAGTACGGCCATAAGGGCTATGTCCAGGGTATAATTAACTTCCTAGTGAAGTATTCTACACTAATCTCACTCCACACTCACTCTAACATTCAATGACACGCTTACTAGCTCTCACTTCTATTAATACTATAACTATACTAATAAAACAAAGGTGGTTCAGCCCACAAATAAATATTTAATTATAAAAAAGAATTATCTACATACACATTACATATACTATACATATATAAAGGATAACGAGATATAGGCTTCTGCCCAATATTATTAAGTATTATGTTCCAACTGGCGATCTCGTCCACTGTAGGCGGTCCAGATCCCAATCATACACACAGCACACGCTACAGTTTTTTGGATTGTGGCCTCCCTCTCTGGTCACTGCAACGTAATTGGTCTCAGGTCACTCACACTGCAAAGCAATAGGTGTAGACTCTAATACCAGTGGGTACACATGCACACACGGCCCTCTCACGGGTCACTAGTCACTCACCGTCTCTGTTTACCAAAAAGGCCTAATGATTCACTGTACTGAGTGGTCTATATTCTATGGTATACTATACCGACTGTACTAAGTTCTACTGTACTGAACTGTACTCAACTCAACTGTACTGACTCTAAATTAGCTCACCATACTGAGACTACAGTCAACTGTACTAATGGTACTAGCTCAAGCTAACTCAAACTGTACTGACTCTAAGTTAGCTCACTATACTGAGGCTACAATCAACTGTACTAATTGTACTAGCTCAAGCTAACTCAAACTGTACTGACTCTAAATTAGCTCACTATTCTGAGACTACAGTCAACTGTACTAATTGTACTAGCTCAAGCTAACTCAAACTGTACTGACTCTAAGTTAGCTCACCATACTGAGACTTAAATCAACTGTACTAATGGTACTAGCTCAAGCTAACTCAAACTGTACTGGTACTAACTCAGACTAACTGTTCTACTTCACTGTTACTAACTGAACTATTACGTACTTAACTATTACTTACTGAACTATTACTTACTGGCTAGAAATGAGAATATCAAATGCAACGCATAAGACATAGGTAAACAATTAAAATCACATCCCATTATTAATAATCAATCATACTCTAAAAATAACTATAGTCCTAACATTTTCTGAATAAACTACAACTACAATTCTACCTATCGGTACACATGAATATGAAAATTAGCAATACTAACCTAGCACTATCTGGATAAACAAACTTTAACAACTAATTATGCCAGCCAGGCTCTACTGACAGACTTCAGGTGAAATAGGGGGATCAATGATTAGGGCCTTCAATTTATACTCTAAGTTTGGCGTTCTGTCCCAATTTCAAGCATCGCATTCAAGCGTCACATTCAGCGTCGCATGTGACGCTCTGGCCAGACGCTGATCATGATCAATGTGACCAGGTTAATTTCATTTGTTCATTGAGTCATTGTTATTAGTGTAAGGCCCAGTCTAATTGTGTCATATCCCATGGGATAGCAATAGAGAGAGTGTGAGCCAGCGGGTCTCACAAAGGTGAGGACCAGCGGGTGTCAACACTCAGCCAGAGGTCAGGGTTGGACGTTGTTCAGAAGATGACAGCAAAATTAACTTCAAATAATTAACCCATCTAATTTATTTGAACTAGGTCAAAGTTTTGAAGCCCAATGTCAGGGGACCTTCCACAAGGGGTGTCATCGAAATCAGAACTCGGCAGGCTGGACTCATCGACCACTTGATGCAGCAGCTTGACCGTATGCACAGAGACTATGTCAACAGATAAATTATTTACTCTTTTAGCTCACTGGCCTATGGAACATGTAATACATATCACAACTTTGCTTTAAACAGCTCTTTCTAGGTTTTTATTCCATTAAGATTTATTTCAGCATATTGTTCTTAGTGAGCGGAAATAAACTGACATACAACACAGTTGGTACATATGGGCTCACAGGGAATCATATGTTTTTTTATTTTTCTAGATATGAGGTAGCTTAGGAAGTTTTATTAGAAATGTTTCAAATGGAAATTTCTTTCTTGTGTCCCTGGAAGGACAATTTATGACTATTTTAGCATGCCTCATTGTTAAAGAGTGTTTCTCTCACTCCAAACATTTAAGAAGTGGTGAACAAACACGTACAGGCCATCAAAATGTCATCTATATAAATATATATGGATCAGGCTAAATTTGGAAGAAGTAATTCAAAGGAAATTGTGCTGGAGCAATTGTTGTTATAGAAAGTTAGTATGTATTTGGTATATGCTGTCCTGGAAGGCATAGACAGCTGAAGGAATAAATTCAGGGTCCCTTTCTGCACCACCATCTGCTGCAAACCAAAGAAAATGCACTGCTAAAATTTCTGGCCAGAATTAACTCCCTTTTATATTGGTTAACTTCTTTCCTGTTACGTCCCTTGGTAGGGTAACCTTGACATTCTATTGACTCAAGTTTAAATACGATTTTGACCGTTTGAGGGATGTTTATGATGGTTTGATAATAACATCGAACCAAAAATCAGGTGCCTTATAGAAATGTTGACTGTAGTCTCAAGAAGCTGTAGACAGAGCTGTCACAGGGGGCCTCAAATACTTAAGGGGGCTGAGATGTTGTGTTGTGAAAAAAACTAAAACTATCAACTTTGTATGCAGGGAGCCAAAAAAAACCCAAAAGTGCCAGGGGGCCTCCAAAAGCAATGTTAGGGCTCTGGCTGTAGATCAGCCCAGTGTCACGGTACAACGACTTCATTTCAGGGCACTGGTGAAACAGCTGCTGTCAACTTTCTCGGCCACAACTATTTGCTCTTATAACACCAGATTATGAATACTGTGTTATATACAATGGAAATATCCATGCCACGCTGTAATGTATTTGGATTTATCCGTGTTGTGCTCTTTATTTATGGCAGTATCGACCAATTGATGGTCAGCATCACAACAACTGCCTTAAAAATGACCTGTTTAGTGGACCTGGTCCAACTATGAATAGAGTGACCTACTTTTTATGTATGGACAACTCATTAAAAAACAAGAGGTAATCAAAATTTCACCAAGTACAAGTGACCGTCAGTGTTTTAAATCTCATTGTTTACAAAAATTAATTTTACAAATCTGTACTCCTGAATACTGCTGTTGCTGCTATTTTGCTAATTTTTCAAGTGATCTTTCACTTACTGCATATATTATATGGATGTTGAAACTGCATAAATTGTGATAGTATGGGTGATAAATTAGTACACTGCACACACACACATATATGAATGTCTGGTGTATTCTGGGTGGGGATATGTACATATTACAAAATGTTTTTTAATTGCGTAACTGTTCATTTATTTTTATGTCTTTGGCTTTAGAATTTAATGTCACAGGACAGGTGTAGGGGAGATCATTTTACAACTTCCATTGTTTTAGAGTTTTTTTCCCTTTTTTTGTGGCTTTTGCTTATCTCACCCTGTATCAGAACATTTGCTTAGTCGCCATGTTGAAATCATTTTTTGATTCATGAGAAAGATGGCGCCATTAATAGTAGAGTTGATGTGAACGAATTTAGAGAGGAAGTCAGAAAGTGAGAGACAGAGAGAAAGACAGAAATTGAGAGAGAAAGACAGAAATTGAGAGAGAAAGTGAGTGAGAGGGGAAGACAGAAAGAGGGAGAGAGAGAGGGGGTGGGGGGAAATAAAGCAGTTGTCAGTGATTGACTATATAAAATGTGCAGAATGTTTGAAAAATGTGATAACTCAATTTGTCTGCCTGTTCTTTTATGATGATTTAATGTGAACATGTTTGTGCTTTTAAATAAAGATTTTGTTACTACTGCAAATAAAGGTGTTCTTTCATCTGATCTTACTCTATAGTTACTAATTGAAGGACTGCATTCAAGCTATGTAAATGACATTGTAGGTCAAGATATGCTGAAGCTGGAATCAAAAGACTGGACAGTAGGATGTGAACGTTTCGGCTCAGAGCCTTCTTGTTTCTGTTGTTATTTTTAACTTACATTTTCAGTTTTTTAACAAGTCATAGCTCATAAACTACTGAAGCTAGTTAATGTTTGTTTAATTTGCCATATAAAACTGTCAAATTTTTATAATTCATGATAATTTTTTGCAAACACCGCTAAAACTAGGTTCATTCCCCAATTGAGTAAAGGTAAAGGCATGAGTTTCTGTTGCTGTGCGCTCTACCTATCGTGTACTATGCTTAGGAGCCGTGGCGACCCCCAGCCACAAAATTATTTTCGTTGTTACTTCATAAAGGTCTAGCATGTGTTTTCAGAGGGTCTGAGGCGACCCTGGGAAAATGGTCGTGCGACCACAAAAGGGGTCGTGACCCACGGGTTGAGAACCGCTGTACCTTACTAATCTATAATAATCTTTATGTATTTCTAATCTATAATAATCTTTATGTATTTATATACTATCTCCATATATTTTATTTGTGTTGCAGAAATAATTAATACTCTGGAACATCAACCAACTAATTTTAAAATGCAGTTTAGTCTCTTTGCGCTATTCATTTTGACGCAAATTCTTTTCTACACTTAATTAAATGAATTAATAACATGTGTCTCTTTTCTTATTTGTAACTGATGTCTCTTGCTTATTTGTAACTGATGTCTCTTGCCTTATTTGATTAAGTGTCTCTTGCCTTATTTGTAACTGGAAACTCTTGGCTTATTTGTAACTGGTGTCTCTTGCCTTATTTGTAATTGTTGTCTCTTGCCTTATTTGTAACTGGTGTCTCATGCCTTATTTGTAACTGGTATCTCTTGCCTTATTTGTAACTGGTATCTCATGCCTTATTTGAAACTGGCATCTCTTGCTTTATTTGTAACTGGTGTCTCTTACCTTATTTGACACTGGAGTCTCTTGATTATTTGTAACCAGTGTCTCTTGCCTTATTCGTAACTTTTTTTCACTTAGCTTATTTGTAACCAGTGTCTCTTACCTTATTTGTAACTCGTATCTCATGCCTTATTTGTAACTGGTATCTCTTGCTTTATTTGTAACTAGTGTCTCTTGCCTTTTTTGGTACTGGTGTCTCTTGGCTTATTTACAACTGGTGTCTCTTGCCTTATTTGTAACTGGTGTCCCTTGCCTTATTTGTAACTTTTTTTTCTCTTGGCTCATTTGTAACTTCTTGCCTTTTTTATAACTGATGTCTCTTGCTTTATTTGTAACTGGTGTCTTTTGCCTTATTTTATAACCAGTGTCTCTTTTCTTATTTGTAACCAGTGTCTCTTTCCTTATTTGTAACTTGTGTCTCTTGCCTTTTTTGTAACTGATGTTTCTTGCTTTATTTGTAACTGGTGTCTCTTGCTTTATTTGTGACTGGTGTATCTTGCTTTATTTGTGACTGGTGTATCTTGCTTTATTTGTAACTGGTATCTCTTGCCTTATTTGTAACTGATGTCTCTTGCTTTATTTGTAACTTGTGTCTCTTGATAATTTGTAACCAGTGTCTCTTGCCTTATTTGTAACCAGTGTCTCTTGCCTTCTTTGTAACTTTTTTTTACTTGGCTTATTTGTAACTGGTGTCTCTTGCAATATTTGTAACTTGTGGCTATTGCTTTATTTGTAACTTGCGTCTCTTGATTATTTGTAACCAGTGTCTCATGCCTTATTTGTAGATTTTTTCTCACTGGCCTTATTTGTAACTGGTGTCTCTTGCCTTATTTGTAACTGGTGTCTCTTGCCTTATTTGTAATTGGTGTCTCTTGCCTTATTGGTAACTGGTGTCTCTTGCCTTATTTGTAACTGGTATCTTTTCCTTTATTTGAAACTGGTGTCTCTTGCCTTTTTTGGTACTGGTGTCTCTTGCCTTTTTTGGTACTGGTGTCTCTTGCCTTATTTGTAACTGGTGTCTCTTGCCTTATTTGTAACTGGTTTCTCTTGCCTTATTTGTAACTGGTGTCTCTTGCCTTTTTTGGTACTGGTGTCTCTTACCTTATTTGAAACTGGTGTCTCTTGCCTTATTTGTAACTGGTATCTCATGCCTTATTTGTAACTGGTATCTCTTCCTTTTTTTGTAACTGGTGTCTCTTGCCTTTTTTGGTACTGGTGTCTCTTGCCTTATTTGTAACTGGTGTCTCTTGCCTTTTTTGGTACTGGTGTCTCTTGCCTTTTTTTGGTACTGGTGTCTCTTGCCTTATTTGTAACTGGTGTCTCTTGCCTTACTTGTAACTGGTTTCTCTGGCCTTATTTGTAACTGGTTTCTCTGGCCTTATTTGTAACTGGTGTCTCTGGCCTTATTTGTAACTGGTTTCTCTGGCCTTATTTGTAACTGGTATCTCATGCCTTATTTGAAACTGGTGTCTCTTGCCTTATTTGTAACTGATGTCTCTTGCCTTATTTGTAACTTGTGTCTATTGCTTTATGTGTAACTGGTGTCTCTTGCAATATTTGTAACTTGTGGCTATTGCTTTATTTGTAACTTGTGTCCCTCGATTATTTTTAACCCGTGTCTTTTGCCTTATTTGTAACTTTTTTTCACTTGGCTTATTTGTAACTGTTGTCTCTTGCCTTATTTGTAACTGGTGTCTCTTGCCTTATTTGTAACGGGTGTCTCTTGCCTTATTTGTAACTGGTGTCTCTTGCCTTATTTGTTACTGTTGTCTCTTGCCTTATTTGTAACTGGAGTCTCTTGCCTTATTTGTAACTGGAGTCTCTTGCCTTATTTGTAACTGGTGTCCCTTGCGTTAACGCGAGTAACAATTCCTTGAAAAATTCCAATAATTATTTATATCAGATAAACCGCTTTTACTGGGAAATGTAATCTGGGCAGGTTTTTGGTTTTGACACCTGGACAGGATGACTAACAACACTTGATACGTCCATCATACCTGATGATACAAGGTGACCAGTTATTGTTTTACAATACACGTTCGCCACTTCCGGTTATCTCAGTTAACACGTTTCACCGCAGATAAACACCACCCCGGCTATCCGAGGTACTAGTTTACAAGTCGGAGCCAATCCGGTGATCATAGACAGTGGCGTCACTAGGGGGTTTGGGCCGCACCGGGTGACACCCTCATAGATGGTGGCACCCAGGGCTGCCAACCCATTAAATAAAATGTATTTGAGAAATAGTCCAAATCTCCGCGGTTTTTATTTGGCAATAATTTTTTTTAATTACACATTTAAATTTATTATGTTGAAAAGATGATGCTTTAAAAATCAAATATCCGTATGTCCATGACTCTTTGTACTATAATAAATATCAAATACGTTTGTTTCTATGACTATGAACTGATATCATTTCACTATGAGCCTATTTTTTAAGCGCTAGCTTATTCTGTGGCATTCGCACGAAGTGTCAATTGACGAATGGTGAACAACTGGGGGGACATTAAATGGACAATTGCAAATTTGACAGAGCTCCCTCCAGTCGGTTTCATCACATTTCTAAATTAAATACAAGAAAGATAGTGTCTCTGATTTTGATCCTCATCAGCAATGATTTTAATACCGACGTCATCGCACCGGAAATAGACTTTTAGGCAAAGATGATCGGCTCACAAACAGTTGTGCGCGCCTAACTAAGCAAACACACATACATCCTTTACATAAAATACAATATACCCCCCACCAAAAAAGTGACAATGTTTGTGCCCCCCCCCTTTTTTTCAAGGGGCGTGCCTTGTCTATCTCATCCTCGGTAGTCTGTATGTATATACTGCGGTATTTTCCAGAGATATGCTATTTTTCTGGTCATGGTAAGAGGAAATTATGGGGTCGTCCACGCTCCGGAAAAAGGGGGGGGGGGGTTAAGAAAGTGTCACAGTTTTAAATTTCTGTTATGATGGGTGTATGCTGACAGAAGATGTCACTTTTTAACACTGTAATATGCTAATAGTGAAGTGTGCTTTAGATGAAGTTGAAATGAGTCTTTCATTTAGCGTTCTGGCGGTACAACGACGCAAACACATCCGTAACACGTCAGCTGTTTCTAGAAAATAAGATGATTCGGGGAAATTCCGCTTTCTAATTTATATTACAAATAGTATGCGGTCTAGTTATGCGAAATATACAGGCATTACAGATTTCTATTTAATCTAGAGAGTGGCGTTAAGGGATTCACAACATTCTAGTATGCATGTTATTAATTGAAATAATTATTGGACTAATAATTTAAATCGGTAATATATATATATATATATATATATATATATATATATATATATATATATATATATATTATGTTTATATATATATATATATATATATCAATAAATAGAATTTTTCATATCTAATGCAGAAATGTTTCTTTCCGAATTTTCCGTGTAACTTCAGCCAGTAACGACACTTTATTGGGTGGAACCTTTCAACTTGTTTTTTTCCTTCCGTATATTTCTATTGGATTTACACAAACATTGGTCATCCTAAACCATGGCTGAGGCTAAAGGGTGAGTTGGACATTATTTTTTTCATGTTAGTTATTCACCATCAAGGCATGTCAAGCTTTTGTATAGTTGTATCGCTGTGGGCGTGTGTGGAACATCTTATTTGGTAGGCTACATGTGTGCCATGGCGTTTTCTTACTTAACCAGTATCGGTAGCCAAGCGTCCTTTTAATGTACGGACGGCGAGTAAATATTTGACAAAACTTGGCCAGTACGTTTAAAAATTTATATTTAAAATATGTCTGTAAAAATATGGTTCGTCCTTGAAAATTTGGAAGATTTTAATTGTTTTCCGAGTAAATTCTATTTTGTATTTTTGGGCAAATCTGCTGTTTAGCACATATCAAGGGGAACACCGTCACGTGGTTCCTACGACT